CCAGAGTCGACCTTTATTTATACTGGTTAGTGCCCAGAGTCGACCTTTATTTATACTGGTTAGTGCCCAGAGTCAACCTTTATTTATACTGGTTAGTCTCCAGAGTCAACCTTTATTTATACTGGTTAGTCTCCAGAGTCAACCTTTATTTATACTGGTTAGTGTCCAGAGTCGACCTTTATTTATACTGGTTAGTCTCCAGAGTCGACCTTTATTTATACTGGTTAGTGTCCAGAGTCAACCTTTATTTATACTGGTTAGTCTGAGTCACGTGGACTCATTTACAAGAGAGACCTGTTTTAGACAACATTTAAAGGATTCAAGGTTCTTTATTTGTCAATCGCACCTCGTGGTACATGTGGTGGAACGAAATTATTTACACAGGGTCCCAGTTACATCCAACAATAAAATGTAAAAGAAAAACAGTAATAACATTTAAGATATGAACTAAAAAAACAACATTAACTAAATATACACTAAGCACTAATAGCATAAAAACATTACGCCGAACAGCAGCACGGACATGAGTCTGTGTGAGCAGATAAGCAGCAACATGAAACAGATCAGCAGCAACATGATGTAATTTTTTTCACAGTGATTATTCTGGTTAGAGATTCATGAGTCTAACAGGCTCAGGGTAGAAGCTGTTCCTCAGCCTAGTGGCTCTGAACTTAATGCTCCTCAACCTCCTGCCTGAGGGGAGCGGTGTAAAAACTGTGTGTGCTGGGTGAGTGGGGTCCTTCGTGATGCAGGTGGCCCTCTTCCTGCATCTGGAGGTGTAGATGTCTGTGATGGTGGGGAGGCTGACTCCAACAGACTTCTGTGCAGCCTTCACTACTCTCTGCAAAGATCAGGCTGGAAGTGTTGCTCCAGCTGAGGTTGTCATTCATGTGTACACCCAAGTCCTTGCAGCTGGAGACCACTTCCACCACAGATCCTCTTATTTTCAGGGCGGGGGGGGGGGGGGGGGGGGGGTAGGTGTGTTTGTTCCTTCTGAAGTCCACGGTAATCTCTTTTGTCTTCTGTAAAGTACAGACAAAAATCAATTAAAATCAAATAAAAGTGTAGTTATTAAAACAGTCAAATCAAGGGGCCAAATAAAAAACTCAAAACAAGATTTGCATAGATTTTTCTATTGACATTGTCACGTGTTGAAAATAGAAATCAAATTGGACATCTTCAAATATGATATGCTTATTTATCTGAAATTTTATTAATCTATTCAATTCAGTTTATTTATACAGCGCCAAGTGACAACAGAAGTCGTCTCAGGGCACTGCACAGAAACATTCATGTTTAAAAATAATAATTTGACATAATTTATGTGAGGAGCAGACCGATTTGAGTTGAACTCCGTCGCAGAACTCTCATCTTGAGCAAACACGAAGGAGACGGTGGAAAGGAAAAACTCCCTCGTGTGCAGGGGTCTGCAACCTTTAAAGAGCCATTTCTGCCCTTTTCGTTCACTAAATGAAATGAGTCCAGAGCCACACAACCTGCTACAATTGTCATTATCAACTGGTGGCTCATGGGCCACTTTAACTTTGTTAGAGGGGGCTTTTCTGGCATGAAATTATAAAAATAAAAACATCTGTTAACATTTATTGATATTTTTACATTTTGAGACAAAACTAAAGACCGGATTCCATTCATCCATCCATCCATATTATCTTTACTCACTTCTTCCTCTTTGGGTTGCAGGGGGTCACTGGTGCCCATATGGTCACAAGTCTCACAGAAGACTGGATTCTTGTAAAGAAAATGAAGATATTTTGCCATTTAAAAAAAACTAAAACAATGAACTGTGCAGGCTTGTGTTTTTTTTTGTGTGTGGAGAAATTGAGTGTCCTACTTTGAAGAAATAAAGCATAACGTTAAAGTGAGTATAATTTACTCTGTATATTACAAAGGAAATGACAAGAAAACTGCTAAAACTACTTTTTTTTTTTTTTTTTTTTGCTGTGGGTGTAACGTCCCATAAAATTCAGTTTTATGTTAGTTTTGGTCAAAGCTTGAAGGAGCCGCTGCGAAGGGACCAAAAAGCTGCATGTGGCTGCAGACCCCTGTTCATGAGGAAGAAACCTTTAGCAGAACCAGGCTCAGGACAAGCGGCCATCTGCTTCGACCAGCTGGATTTGAGAGGAACAGGAAGGAGGAACAGATACACAATGGCAGGTCGAGAATCACGTGTTAAGATAGAAATTATATGAAATGAAAACTATTTAATTTTACCAATTAATTTTAAGAAATAAGGTCAGTTTGTCCTCCAGTAGTCTTAATCCTAAGGCAGCATAACAAGCCAACCCTAACTATAGGATTTATCAAAAAGGAACGTCTTAAAACTGGACAATGTGTCAGCCTCACGGACAGAAACTGGAAGTTGGTTCCACAAGAGAGGAGCCTGATAACTGAAAGATCTGCCTTCCATTCTGCTTTTGGAAACTCTAGGAACCGCAAGTAAACCTGCACTCTGTGAGAGCAAAGTGCTCTGCTTGGAAAAAAATGGAACAGTAAGATCTCGAATATAAGATGGAGCTAGGTTGTTGAGGGATTTGTAGGTTAGAAGTAGGATTTTGAATTCAATTCAGAATCAACTGAAGACTTTTTAAGTATTTGGACACCCAGGTAATCTACAGCGATTTATCTTATGTTTACAGAGTACAAATACTCTGCTGTGTTTTGTCTCTTATTCACATAGCAGAGCTTTTTATATCCCCTGACAAGTATTAATATTCATAATTTCGGTCTGAATTATACATTTCAGATGATCCAACTTATTTGGCTTGAATCAGCAGGACTTACTGGTGCCTTGAGTTTTAAGGAGTCATAGTTTGTACAACCCTAGTTCTGCAGAAGTTGGGATGTAGTGTCCAAAAATGTAATTTAAGAACAGAATGCAGTGATTTGCTAATCTAAATCCATATTCAAAACATCAAAGTTTATTCTCAATAATCTAAGTATAAAATCCAACAAAGTTCAGTCAGGTCATCCGGACGGTTTCTTTGGCTATGGCTGCTTCAGAGGAGTCGACGGGGGAGAGGGCGGGCCCCAGAAACCGTCTTTTCACCAGAAAACTGGTTAGTCCACTATTCATTCAACCTGCATTTATACAGGTTAGTCCCATTGAACTATGTGAGTGTGCTGCATGTGGGACTCAGTTTGTTTGTGGCTCCTCGGGTTGATGAAGTCCTTTGGATGAAGGATGAACAATCTCAACAAAAAAAAAAAACATTCAGATGACCTGACTGAACTTTGTTGGACTTGCTTGGTGTAAATTTGAATCCCCACTAACCGTTTAGGATCAATTGAACCTCCATTCTTTTACCCACTTCTTCCTTTTTGGGTCACGGGGGTCACTGGTGTCCATATCCAGCAGTCGCTGTGCGAGAGGTGGTGCACACCCTGGACAGGTCTCCATTCCATCACAGGGACACATGGACAAACGAGACAAACAACCATTCACTCTCACACCTAGGGACAATTTAGTCACCAGTCAGCCCAAAATTCATGTGTTTGGTCTATGGGAGGAAACCAGAGTACCCGGAGAAACCCCACACATGCACAGAGAGAACACGCAAACTCCACTCTACTGCTCTGGCTTTTGGTTTTGGTGCCACCCCTGGATTTTCAGTGGCTCCCACATGCCTCCCCCCCATTAAACCATTTATGGAGACACCATTTATTTCAACTGTCAAAATCAGTATTTTCACTTTCTCCTTCTTTTTTTGCGCCGCTGCTCGTGCTCCTTCCAGCTCATTTTGACAGCATGGGTCACAAATGTAGCAACGGTGCAATAAAATGGTTTTGTAAAGACGGCAGGTAGAGCGCTGCTAAATGACTTCACTGTTACCACGAGGCTCATGGAGTGGGGCAAAGCTGGACAGAAAGCTTGGCTGCACCACTTTGTGTCTAACTTGGCTTCCAGCTCTGACAACAACGGGGTTTAACCCTCACAGATACAACCACCTATTCAGCAGTCGCACAAAATATACACAATTATCTCTGTCCACTGTCCCAATAGACTGTTAATTTTTTGTGCTCTTCTTTTTATTTATCAACTGTGAACATCTCGTCTTGAGAACAGAACAGTTTCCTTTCCCAGTCTAAGTAGGACTAACTTGTTTTTCTGCAACCTAAGACTAATGACGAGAACACAGACCGTAGTACTCGCGTGCCGGTAATTTAAAGACATAACATGGAGTAAGCTCGTTAAAGGATGCCTTTCAGTTTATTCCACCGCTCTCCTCAGTCTTTATTCACGCCTTCTCTGCAGACAGCGCGACGTAATGCAATGATTTCAGCCTCCATCTGTTTCCTGCCTCCATTACTCCCTCAGCCTCTCCTGATCTCCTTCCTGTTTCAGATTCGCCTTGTGGAGTTGAGCTGCCGGTATC